AGCATAATAATAAATACTCAGAGCTGGTTTACAGTCTGCAGATATCATGCTTCTCAGTGTGGGGTATTGAGAAAATATCCTTTTAGAATTATCTTTGAAACTCATCCTCGATTTACACATTGACCCCTGATATGGAGTTCCTCTAAACCCACAGACTCAGGGGAGTCAGACTCCACCAGTGATTCACATGCATTACATACTTAAATCTTAAATTTCTCCTGACAAGTTAAACCGAATCAGCCATGGCCTCTCCACGGCTCTCAGGATATCATAATTGGGCTCTCTTCAGTAATGTTCTGCCATCCATCAACTTCCCTCCCTTAGAGCCATAAGAAATAGAGCAGTTTAGCTCTTACTGAAATGAAAATGAAAAGAAATACAAATGGAAGTGGGTGCTTTAATATAAAAATCCCTCAAGCTGAATATGCTGCCACGTGAAATAAACAGTTGGGGGCACTAAGTGACACATCTCAAGCAATCTAAAGTAAAGCTAAGAAAGCGGTGGAAGAATGTGCTTCAATCAGTTCCCTGGAAGACGAGAAGCTGCTATAATTTGCAGATAAACATGCCTTTAGGACAATATCCATTCAAGGGAAATGTTTCTGCAGACTATTTATTAATATTATTAAGCAGATGCAGAGGGGTGCACGTGGGGGTGTACACAACAAGCAACATTAGCAATTTGCTGTTTGCTTATTTAATACTTCAAGGAGCTCCCCTATCACTATGTCACTGTACCCTGTTAATAATATCTTATATTATCATAAATCATAATATTGTGATTTTGTGATAGTGGTTTGTGAAAATTACTGCAGGTGCAAGAATACTCCCTGTTGATGAGGTCATATGGGATAGTTATCCTTTCTCAAGCCCATTCTAGCTCCTGTAAGTTGTGTGCACACAGGCTAGGAATATAGTAAGAGTATTGGCAGCCATGAAAGGCTCCATTCAGGAAAGCCTTGTACATGGATATGCTAAGCAATTCCACTAAGAACTGCAAAAGGACTAGGATTGGCTGAGAATATTCAGCCACTTTCTGATGATAGGAGAAGCTGCAGATGTGTAGTAAAACAGATAAGTGAAACAAAGGAATTTCAGAATTAAGTAAACTTCTAACTGTTCTGCTCATTTTATGTTTACTCATTCACACTATGCTAAGTAAATAACAAAGGAGAAAACTGAAAATTAATCGGACTGTGACCATTGATGCGGGTTTTACAATCACTGCATACTCTGAAACGTGAATAGCCTGCTAACTACAGTCTACAGACAATGGAATACAACAGAAAACAATGAGAGAAAGTACAGCAAAGGACTTTACACTAATAAAGTGTGATAGGAAATTTAGTAGCATTTTGTAAATTGAACAAACCTTGATGCGCTGATGCAAGTCCTTGACTACGGCATCATTTTTAGTTTTATTTAAATTTATCTTGAGTAGGTGTGTGTTGAGAAGAAAATTCATCTTAAGAAGTTGGAGTATACAAACAGGCCACTACAACAACTGTAACAAATTCTCAAATGTTATTCCTACATTGACTTAAATATGTTAGCTTAATTTACAGTATACTGCTTAATAAGGTTATTTACCTGCTTCCCTTTTACCCATTTGTATTTTTAGATCTATTACTACGTTACCCTAAAATAGTGTAATGCGTTCTTATTAAACAGGATCTAATGTAAATTTTAGGTTTAAGATAGGGTCCTCATTTCTTTCTTAAGTATTCAATAAACCAAATACATACCCTCCAACATAGGGGTCCCGTGATGTCAGTGGGAGAAGTAAAATGGTGTGGGCCAATGACTCGAATCAAGTCATTCACAACACCAAATGGGAGTGGATCCATCCAGAAAGGAATGCATGCACACCAGCCTGCCTGTCAGTCACTCAGGCTTGCCCACTAACGATGCACAATGACGTGGGCACTGTTTTAGTGCACTCTGTAATCCTGTAGGTCCTAAGGGTAGCGCACACATGTCTCATGATATACTAGTACTACTCTTTCTACGGACAGTTCACTGGTGTCCTCAAAATCAGGACACCAGGGAACAAAGATGGGACGTTTGAACAAGACTCGTTCATAGGGACTATTCTCCTGAAAACAGTTGAAAAGCCTGTAAATGTACTCCTTTATCTCAGAACTGGCAGATACATTGACAATTTAAAAATTAAAGATATTAAAGTGTTTTGTAAAGTGCTACGGAATCTGTTGGTGCTATATAGATGCCAGTAATAATAATAATAATAAAAAAGGAACATTCCAAACCACATAACCACCTGGCACCCCTTACTGTAAGTAACCAAGCCATATTAGAATAGTTTGACTTATAACCTTGGGTTGTAGGACTCAGCTTCCCACATTCTATCAGCTGTCAGAAGACCCAGAAACGTCTGCTTATGGCCTCCTGCTCTACTAGGATCTAGTGCAGGTGAGGAATGGAGCCTGGCAGACACCAGGTAAGAGTTCAATAGTTCTAAAAATGTTTTGACTACTTGCAATGATGGGGTGCCAGGCTTTCCTGATACCATAACCACTATAGCATATGGAAGTTGTTACAGTGTTTTAAAATAACCCTCAACCCAAACCAGTCATACCAGCTACCTCAATATTTAAGAATAATGGTTTCGGTGGAGTGCATTTGATAATGTAATGTAATGGAAAAGTAAAAGAATATATATATATATATATATATATATATATATATATATATATATATATATATTTAATTTGACATCAATAAATATTTCTGCTTCAAATGCTGCCCCCTTAGTCTCTTATTGTACCTTTATTAAAGAAAAAAAATCTCCTGGAGCTTTCTTGCTCATGAGCTGGTCATGATGGTGTAGTTACAAGTCTGAAATGTTGGAGCACTTAATATTTAAGATGGATTAAGACTGCCTAGAGACCTTAACAGGATGTCAGTTTGGGGCCACTATCTATTGCCTTGGGCTCTGCCCCTCGTCCCATATTGTCTTTCATTTTGCCTGTATCGTGGCAAACAAGATGTGCTGTGGCTCCAGCACCATTCTGTTGTAAAGACTTGAACATAACTTTACCTCTCACAGAGTCCACAACAGGACAGATGTGGAGACAGAGTGTAGAGATGGTGCACCTCCTGCTCAACAACCCTATACATCAATGTATAATATGACCGAGTCATTTTAAATGATACTGCCAGCATCCATGGGGAGATCCCAACCAGTTTAAGTTTCAGTTCTAATTACATATCCTAACCTGCCATTATACAGAAAACACGTGTGAGACCTCACTTGGAGTATTGTACACAGTACTGGAGACCGTATCTTCAGAAGGATATTGATACCTTAGAGAGGGTTCAGAGAAGGGCTACTAAACTGGTTCATGGATTGCGGGATAAAACTTACCAGGAAAGGTTAAAGGATCTTAACATGTATAGCTTGGAGGAAAGACGAGACAGGGGGGATATGATAGAAACATTTAAATATATAAAGGGAATCAACACAGTAAAGGAGGAGACTATATTTAAAAGAAGAAAAACTACCACAACAAGAGGACATAGTCTTAAATTAGAGGGACAAAGGTTTAAAAATAATATCAGGAAGTATTACTTTACTGAGAGGGTAGTGGATGCATGGAATAGCCTTCCAGCTGAAGTGGTAGAGGTTAACACAGTAAAGGAGTTTAAGCATGCATGGGATAGGCATAAGGCTATCCTAACTATAAGATAAGGCTAGGGACTAATGAAAGTTTTTAGAAAATTGGGCAGACTAGATGGGCCGAATGGTTCTTATCTGCCATCACATTCTATGTTTCTATGTTTCTATGTTAACCTCCGGTCTAGGATCCAGGCCCTGGGTGACCTATGGCCATCTTATTGGTAATTTGGCTCTGCCTGGATTCTTTGCAGAGGCCTGGCATCTATACTCGGGTGCACCTGTTTCTGGAACACTTACTCTTAATGGACAATCACCCTGCTTTGAAATGTAGAGTAAACCATAGCTGACATGTAAAATAATCTATTTAACCAGGAACCATGAGTGCATTCACAGCAGAGAAGTGCTATATATCCACATCAGAGCAAAGCTAGTTATTTCTTTAAAAAAAAACATCAAAAGGACAAAGGAAATGATTAGTTCATACAATTTTATAATATAACATCATCAACTTACTGACGTTGAACGGTTCCAAGAGGCCTCACACAAGAAGAAGCATCCCATTTATTACTTAAACACGGTAAAAAAAAATGGTTTTGTTCTTTTGGTTCAGTAAAAAAAAAGACAATAAAACCATGAATATATATTAATTATAAAATGTATGAAGTTCTATAACCTCCTCCTAATTCAACCATCTGTTTTCTTCCTGGAAAATTACTTGTTTTTAGAGTTGAGCGAACCAGAATTGTTAAGTTTGGGTTCGTACCGAACATTCCGTTTTTTGGACCCTTGACCCAAACACGGACATATCACTGTATGTTCGGGTTGGAGTTCGGTGTTTGGCGATTTAATGACGCGTTTTGAAAGGCTGCAGGGCAGTGGGTCGGGAGTGTGTCATTTGCACGCCTGCTGCCTTCCTTGCATGTGGTAGCTGTTTGTCAGGGTCCCTGTACGGAATCGAACCCTGGTCACCATGGTAGGCACAGTCAATGGCATCGAATGTTGATATGGATTGACATACGAATGCGTCGTCGCCTTCTCGTTGGGGAGCACATTGAAAAATGTGATGCCACGGTGTATACCCAGATATATCAGAGCTGCAGCAGAAAGTCTGGGCCGTCTGTGCGCACTTTTGGCATTCTCACACTGCTGCCACTCGCCTGTCTGCGCTGCAGCGTAACTTTGGCCTTCCCGCTCACCGCCTCATGAGTCTGTTTGAGCAGCAGCAGGCGATAGTGGAGTTTCAGCTGCAGCATGCACGGGTCAGTGGCTCTTCACCAGACTTCCCTCAAATTGATCAGAGTTAAAGGATTTCAAGTGGACTCATTACAATTACAGGGCCTCTGAAGAGTCCTGTATTGTTATTTGTCGTCACTACCTTTCCGCATCGGGAGTGAGGCATTTGCGCGCCTGCTGCCTTCCTTGCATGTGGTAGCGGTTTCTCAGGGTCCCTGTACGGAATGTAACCCTGATTCCCCGTTACCCGTGGTCACCATGGTAGGCAAAGAAACTGTCATCGAAAGTTGATATGGATGACATCCGAATGCAAAGTCGCCGTCACGGGGATGTGCGATTGGTCCGAGGTTCTCTAGAGTCAACAAAGTGCCTGCACAACTATAATGTCAACAGCTACTCTGCGGAACAGAGTTATCTTTTTTTATTTGTCCCAATATTTTGGGGGCTACCCCAATAAAAAAATAAATAAATATATATATATATATATATATATATATATATATATATATAATATATAAAAAACAGTGTTGGCTACCTCCTCCTCCTTCACCGCTGCTACCACCTACACCACCACGGTCACCACCTCCTCACCCTATGGGTCACTTAGTATAAACTATGTACACAATAGCAGGCCGAAATGTTTATTTTTTTATATGTCCCAATATTTTGGGGGCTACCCCAATTAAAATAATATATATATATATATAAAAAACAGTGCTGGCTACCTCCTCCTCCTCCCCCGCTGCTTCCACCTACACCGCCATGGTCACCGGCTCCTCAACCCGTGGGTCACTTAGTATAAACTATGTACACAATAGCAGAGGCTTGTGAAGGCCTTTTCTCCATGCATCAGGAGTTGAGCTCAGTTTGAACAATGAAAGAGAATATCCTGCACTCCAACCCTCTCTCAAATGGATAATTCTGTTGATCCTCCTGACATGCTTTAGATTTTGATTTATTTTCTTCCAAAGCTAAAATCAAAGATTCCATCTAGTGTTATTTTTTGGCTCAGCTGTATATAAAATTTTTATGTTATTTTAAGTGATTTCTCTATCCACATTTGTTTGCAGGGCACTTGTCATACACTTACCCACATTTTACTTCCTTTTGAAGCCCTCTAGCCCTTTCCAGGACTTTTTAGAGACATTTTTGTGCCCAAAAGGTCGGGTCCCCATTGACTTCAATGGGGTTCGAGGTCAAGTTCGATCACAAACCCGGACTTGTTTTCAAAGTTCGGCTAAAGCCGCCGGACCCGAACATCCAGGTGTCTGCTCAACTCTACTTGTTTTGCACTCATAAATTAAAAAAAAATGACTAGCTTTTACAGTCAAAAACTAGTCATAAGAAGCAAAATAAGGAGGAGCAGTAAAATGCCTATATTTATTTATTAAATATATTTTATTACAGATACAATATATAAATGTAGACTTTTGTTTTAGTGCTCCTTCTTTTTTCCCCTCTACAGGTCACTTCTCACTTCATTGCAAAAGATTTTCAACATTTAGTGGCTGTCCCCTAACCATTAATCAAATATTTACCATCAATCATCACAGGCATAATTTTGAATCATCATTCAAACGAACATACTCATCCAATGTACCAGTCATTTGTTCAGTTAAATATTAAAATGGTGCTTCAGTGTTACAGGTCTGTCTAAAGGCCTTCAAGGACCACTCCACACCCCAAAAGCACTTCAGCAAATGGAATCCTAGGACAGAATACATTCAATTGTAAACAAAGTGAAGTAGCTTTCAACAGAAAAGCAGCAGGACATTGATATAAAACCATATTCCTTAATTATTCTTATAGACCCTGAAACATCCAGAACAAAAAGGTAACTGTATTTGACTCAGTTTTAGGTAATACCACATACAGATTGTTACACTGTTTTATTTATAAACACAGCATCAACATGCCTCTTTAAATTAAGAATATTGTTCATAAACTTTTCATTTAACACATGGTTTGTGTTAGAGTGATGACACATATCTAAAACTGTAGCTCCACTTGCATCATCTCATCATCGCATCAGTAAAGCCAAAGCAAGTTATCAGTTTTGATTCCTTGATGACAAGCAGATTATCTCCACAGTCCATTTCCTGTGTTTTATCAGGAAAGAGAGGGATGTAGATGGCATTATAAATCCAAATCTTGTCTCAGATTAATGAACTGGAAATTTCACTCATTATAATATATTTGATATTTGTAAAAGAACAGTGAATTAAAACAAGATAAAGCATGTAATAAGTTGTTTACTAACATTTCAAATAATGTAAAAGCATGTGTAGGCTAGCAGAGAGCGATGGTAACCCCTATGTTCTTCATTCTTATTCCTGCTCCTCACTTTGCACATCCCACCTCAAATTGAAGGTCAGCAGAGCCGCTTTCTATGTTAGAGCTCTGCATATATGGAATAACCTAACAGAGACTATCATATCTGCCACCAGTCTAAAGTCCTATATCTGCATCCACCTAACTTCAATCAAAGAGCAATTGCAGTCATTGCTAACTTGGTGCGAGGTGGGGCCTCCATGGATCATATTTGTAGTTCCAGAACATCCCACAGATGCTCAACTGGACGCATATGCACCTGGCCATCCACCTAATCTAAAAGAAAACATGATTCATCAGACCACACAACCATCTTCCATTGCTCCATGCTCCAGGTGTGATGCTCACATCCCCTTTGAATGCATTTTTAGCAGTGAACAGGGGCCATCATGGACACTAAGGCTGGTCTGCAGGTACAAAGCCCCATATGCAGCAAATTGCAATGCACTCTATGTTCTGACACCTTTTTATGATGGCCAACATCAAGTTCTTTGGTGTTAGAGGGGCGATATGTGAGGCAGATATAACACTTGCTAACAATCTCCTCTATATTTTTTCCATCCCAGGCCAGAACATGATATTGCTTACATTTTTCAGTGTCTAGGTGAATGGTATGAATGCATGACAGCACGTGTGGTGTTTCCCAAGGCTCCATACTCTATTCCCTGCTATTAACATTATTTATAAATGATCTGCCGAACATCTGCAAATCCTCAACTGTACACATGTATGCAGATGACACTGTAATCTACGCTAGTAAACCGAAGCTACCGCAGCTCGAGGCTGTGCTCCAAAACCAATTCACAGAGGTAGAAAAGTGGATAGCGGATAACAAACTCTTCCTAAATACTGACAAAACCGATACGTGCAAACACAACCGTACATTCACTCACACATATTCCGTACAAAAACATGATACATTCAAACACACAAACAGTGCTTGGTGCTAAATACATAAAACTAAAAATAAATACACTGCTCAGTGCTAAAGACACTTTTTAAGGGGTTATGTATTAAATTTATATATGTGCGTATGTATGAATGTATATATATATATATATATATATATATATAAATGTATATATATATATACATAGTTTGTATATTTTATTTTTGTAATATTGTATCCTATTGTAACAATACAATGTTTTGTGGAACCAGGACTTACTTGAAAATGAGAGAAATCTCAATGTATGCATCCTGGTAAAAATAAATAAATAAATGTGTGGATGAAGGCTTGCAGGAACAATGATCTTCTCACCTTTAAAGATTATCCCATGTAGGGAAATGGCTTTCTCTCTTCAGGTTAACCTCCTTGTATGACACATTTCAAAGCCTTGAACTGCGGGTCCCTTTCAAGTTGAATTCTGAGTTTCTCCAACTTCATTTCACTGACAGAAAGACTGCTGTACACCTTGTGCCATATCAAGGCAAATCATCTTAGAGTGAGTCCTACTCTAATCTATTGTCTGGAGATAATTGTATCACAGGCAGAGGGGAGGATTTCTGCTGGGAGTGGTTTAATTTATTGTACATGTTCTAATGTTTCTATTGGTTCTTCTGAAAAACCTTGTGGGCGGTCCTGTATGCATAAGACCTCCATAAAAGAAGGCCCTTTGGTGCTAATTAAACACAGTTCTTCTTGACCCTCAACACGTAGTCTTGTCTCGTGATTGGAAGGGACAGCTATACTCACACTGGGGATTGCTATGCTCTGCATACTCCCCTGAGCTTTAATCACTTAGCTCTTTTAAGAGCTTGTTTCTGATACGCTTTCCTGGAGTAGAGGTCTTCCCCACATGGTCCTGGAGGACAGAAGCTGATCCAGGGTGGACAGAAGATGGTGAGACTCCAGTTAAGCTACAGCAGTTGCGGAGTCTGCGGTGGTTGTGATGTACGGTGAGGTGCTTCTGGTCCTCTGCGCAAGCTAGGAAGTGTCCATCAAAGGAAGGTACTCGGTCGGAGTATGGGGAGTTCTGTTACAGATGCTTACTAAGGCAGAGTAGGCACCTGCTCTCCTTACATTGCAGTTGCCTACTCTGCTAAAAATGTACCTGGTCGGGGAGAAGAGGTCTTTGGCAGCATCGAGGGAGCTTAGTCTGCCTGCAACTCACTGCTCCCTCACGTGCGCCCTCTGTAGTGATGCCGGGTGCCGGAATATGATGCCATTTCTGCACCACTAAACTGTGCACATGAGGGAGCAGTGAGGAGCAGGAAGACTGAGCTCCCGAGAGAAGTGTAGAATATTGCATATTCTATATTTCTATTGATTATGTTCGGATGTCTGGATTGACATAAGTAACAGATGGTATCAATAAGTCACAAGGTTTTCTTGTATGAGAACTCTGGAATGTGGATTGGGGGTCTTGTCCTTATATGGCAAGAGTTATAGTGACGTCAGTATGGGCACATCTATATAGTAACTAAACAAAGGGACACAAGGTTTCTCTCTCTCTTGGCTCTTCTTCCTGTACAGCTATGTAATGATGTAACTCTCCCTTCAGGAGTCCAGCAATTTCCATCTGCTGTTGAACATTCATTATCCTATAACATCCTTTGTTGTTTTATTATGTATCTGTAACTGTAAGAATAAACCTGAAGAAACCGTAAGTCAGATTGCGTATTAGTATTTTTGGTTAATACAGACGTATATAAACATGGCGAGCCTTTAACCCAAGAAATATACATAAAATAATTATTTCAATCAACTGGAAAAAGACACAGAAGAAGTGGAAAGATTTTAAAAGAAGATTCCTACTGGACCCCAGGGAGAGGCCCCACACCAGTTCCCAAAGGTAGGGAGCAATAAAGAAAATGATGTTAGTGTGTGCAATAATGTGGAAATGTGTGTGTGTTTGTCAGTGAGTGTGTGTGTGTGTGTCTGTCTGTGAGTGTGTGTCTGTCAGTGAGTGTGTGTCAGTCAGTGAGTGTGTGTCTGTTTGTCAGTGAGTGTGTCTATTAGTGTATGTGTGCCAGTCAGTGTGTGTCTGTCAGTGTGTGTGTGCGTGTGCGTGTGCGTGTGCGTGTGTGTCTGTCTGTCAGAGAGTGTGTGTGTCTGTCT